ATATATATATATATATCAAATAATCAAATCTATTACTGTAGTTTCATTGCTATTACATTTAGCTATATATATATATATATATGTTAAAATGGGTTGAATCAATAAATGGTTGGATCGTAATCCGCCCAAATTTTGCTCCAGAAAAAATGAGCTTATGCTCTGAAAGTTGGTTTGAAACGAGCTATTCGTTCGTATTGTTAAGGTGGTTATTGTTAAGGTGGTTTAGACCTTGTATGAGTTCATCTAAATTCAGTAGTTTTGGTTTAGACTTCGTATGTGTGTTACAAACTCCACTAAGTAAGTACAAAAAATAAACGAACTCAGTATATTAGAGGAGATGTGGTAGTATTTCGAATCCGAATCGTTTGGTATATTCCGGCCATCTCCTGCTACTTGAATTCTTGCCTACTTGAGATGATTTTTGAGTTCTGTCTCTTCTTCCATATATTTCCACCCACCACAAAGGTCTTATATTTCTTTGAAAATGTTCTGTGACCACAGATGTAGGGGGACTCCCATGGCTCTGATCCAAGTACTTTTGACAGATATGGAGTTGGAAAGACAACCGGTGATGGGGTTCCACCATTCGAGATAAAGCTTGAATTTCTTCCACCTCCATTCTCCTTGGAGAATCTGCTCAGCCATGTTTCTGTTGGGGAACTCAAACATAAAAAGATTCTCAGCCATCTCATACATGTTCACTCCAAATGTTGTTTTCCACGTTATACATCCCCATCTTCGAATTTATGATAGTGTAGGTCTCTAAGTTGTTTCCTTCCCAAAGTACCCAATGATACATCTTATCAGAAGTCCATTGTACTTCATCCCATTTGACTCCAGGATCGTGATGCCTCATTTATTAGTGCTAGCAACTGCTTCATGAAAGATGTTTGATTGCCATTTACTCTCTTGTACTGCTTTGGCATAAGGGTAATTTGCTTCAGAAAGTCTGGGTGGCCCTGTGAATTGAGTTGGGAGGAGTATTTAATAAACCTTTCTATCTTAAAAGCAACGTCTCTTCATCCTCCATTCAAAGCAAGTTCAGGGATTATAATGACCTCACGATTGTCTCTTTTCAAAGACAATATACTCATGTATCTCCCATGGTCATTGTACTTCCTAATACAAAAATATTCAGTTAGTTTGTCCTTATTCTTCCATCTCCGTACCACATTCTTCTGGTCATTAGAAGGTTCTTTGAGCACATTACAGATCCATTCCATAGTCTTTTTGCTTAGCGTGAGCGTCTCATCATATTGCGACTTCTCTCCACCCAATCGAACCATGTATCACTGTTGGAGGTCCATCTGGTGATTTCAAAAGATTTGAAACCAATAAAATAAATTATGTTTTCCCCATAAGAAATAACTTTTGTTTAAGAGAGTTTAAAGGAAAGGATAGTATCTCAATAATCACAGTGGAAGGAAAAATGTATTTTCCGGTACTGAACGACGTCGGATTCTACAGTACTCAAATGACGGAAAACACTGTTCACACCGGAAAATATAAAAGTGGTCAGAATTTGATTTTAATTGGATGGGTAGGCTCGGATTTGCGAGGAGAAGAGGTTGTTCTGAAGAAATATTCCCAAAACGACGCCGGTTCTGCAGTATTCAAATGCCGGAAAACACTGTTCACACCGGAAAATTTAAAAGTGGTCGGAATTTGATTTTAATTAGATGGATAGGCTCAGATTTGCGAGGAGAAGAGGTTGTTCTGAAGAAATATTCCCAAATTCTAGCCGGAAACAGTGTCACACACCGGCGCGTGGACCGCTGGAAAACTCCTTCCGGTAGCGCGTGAGGGTGCGTGGGTCCTTTTCTGCCGAAGATGGTTTTTGAGGGTTGTTCGCGAAGGGGCTATCTCTGTTATAAATGAAGAAAAGAAGGGTTAGAAAAAGAAGAAGAGATTGGGTGGGAGGAAAGACTCCATTTTTTTAAAACTGCTATTTTTTTATATAGAAAGTATAATCTTCTACATATAGTAGTATAATTTTCGACGAGGGTGTTCAACTGACCACTCTTAACTTCATTGTATGTGGTTACGTCGTTGTTGCTGCTATGAGTTCATCTGAATACAGTAGTTTTGGTTTAAACCTTGTGTGTCTGTTAAAAACCCCACTAAGTACAAAAATAAACTTAGTAAATTAGAGGAGATGTGGTAGTATTCCAAATCAGAACTAATAAAGTCCAAATAATGGATTCGCCTATGAGTCTATGGTGTTTTCTTTGGCATTTGATTTTTTCTTTGCGTCCATCTTTTGCACACTAATTTGTTTATCAAGTGATGTTTAAAAGAGACGATCAAAGAAAGTCCAAGTTTGAGATTCAACTTTTTCATTTTGCCCTATGCTTCAAATTTGAATGAAACAAGTTTTAATCTTGTTAATGTACAATAATCTAGGTTGGTCTAAGTGGTGCCCTTGAGACACTATGCGGCCAAGGATATGGCGCAAAAATGTACAGGATGCTAGGGATACATCTGCAGACATCATGTATCATATCATTCTTATTTTCAATAGTGATTGCCGTTATCTGGTGGTATTCTGATATGATACTGATTTTACTTCATCAAGATCCCGACATAGCAAAAGAAGCAGGGGTGTTCTTGAAATTTCTTATACCTGGATTGTTTGCATACGGTTTCTTGCAAAACATTATGAGATTTCTTCAGGCTCAGTCGATTATCATACCTCTTGTCGCGTGCTCAGTTGGAACTTTAGTTATCCACATTGGCATTGCCTACACTTTAGTTCATTGGACATGTCTTGGTTTCAAGGGAGCATCATTAGCAGCTTCCATTTCAATCTGGATTGCAGTTCTTATGTTAGGTCTATACGTACTTTTCTCCGAAAAATTCAGCCATATCTGGGAGTATGGTTTCTCATTCGAGCCATTTCATCAAATCTTTACAAACTTGAAGTTGGCTTTGCCCTCTGCTGCTATGGTCTGGTGAGTATCATGTTTGTTAATTTGGTTATTCTAGTAAAAGAAAATATTGTCATTTAAGCCGTAACATAATTCCCAATGAGTTTAACTATTGTACGCTCATAGTATAGAGAATTTTTACACTATCAGGTAATTTAATTAGAAGTTAATAACAGGTAACTTTCTGTAGTAAGATTGGATATTGGTAACATGGTAAGTGACTTACACGGGGAAAGTGCATAGATAGTCATTCTCATAGATGCTATTTAGAGATTAGCTAGTAGTTATTTTGTCCTAAAATTTTAAACTAAAATTCCGGACAATTTAGGACATTTTTGTCCCGAAAAATTAAACTGAAAAACTGAAATTGAGGATGCACCGGCTAATTCTTAAATAGCAGTCCTTTAGAGTGGCTACCTCGTGTCGTTTCCACCTTTAACAGATGGTAAAACTATAATGATAGGGTGAAATTCTTTGACACTGTTGTGTAAATAAGGAGTAAATCTTTTCCAATTTGATGTGTACACAGTTTGGAGTACTGGGCTTTTGAGCTTCTTGTGTTATTGGCTGGTTTGATGAAAAACTCAGAAACAACTACTTCTGTTATTGCAATGAGGTAATTAAAGCTTCTTTGCTTTAAACCATTATAGTATTTTATATTACTTAAGGTTAAATTTTAATTAGTCTAGCTGATACCAATTGTTTTGGGTTGTAACTTTCCAGTGTAAACACTGAAGCCATTGCCTACATGATGTCTTATGGTCTGAGTGCAGCTGCAAGGTAATTTATATATTTGTCCTCGTTGGTCAACTGAACACCCTTCGTCGAAAAACTATAATGTGTATATAAGGTAAAATATCACTTCTTATTGATTAAAAAAAAATAGACTCTGAACACCCTTACATAGTTCACTAACAAAGAGTGTTCAAAATTTGAATACCCTTATCGAATTTCCTTACTTTACCACTTCGTGCAGTCAATAATAGTGTAAAAATTCTTTGACTACTCATTTTTGAGTTATCCCTAGTTTGTTACTAATACCAAATGTGTATCCAAATATATTTGCAGCACTAGGGTGGCAAATGAATTAGGAGCTGGAAATCCACACAAAGCTAAACATGCTATGGCTGTTACACTCCAGCTTTCTATTATTCTTGCTCTTATAGTTGATTTGGCTCTATTTTTTGGTCATAATGTCTGGGCTGGCCTCTTCAGTGATAGCGCGGAGATAATTAACAAATTTGCCTCCATGACGCCTCTACTGTTAATATCCTTTGTATTCGATTTCTTTCAAGGAATTTTATCAGGTCAGATTATTAGACACATATATACATAACTTATCATATATTATATATTTACCGGCTATTTTTAGTTTAAGCGGTTGGGTGTGCGACTATTTGTGTTAATTCTTCTTCAAAATAACCTTACTAAAAGTGTAATTAAATTGATCAGGAGTGGCTAGGGGATGTGGGTGGCAACATTTGGCTATGTGCATCAACTTGGCAACATTCTATGTCATTGGCATGCCAATAGCAGGTCTCCTTGCTTTCAAGTTTAAACTACAAGCTCAGGTAATTCAAGTGCACACCATGCTCGGTTTTCTCTCGTATTCAGATAGACGGATCTTTGATTTAAACTCTTTTTTAAATACTAAACTCATTTTATATTTTAAAATTAGGAGTTAAAAAACTAATATTCGTCAAAACTTTTAGTCATTATTTAACATTTATGCCTATGCTACGTGTCAAAGGTCAATAATGTGTTGAACGCAATTGAACGTTGGCTTCATCCGGTGGCTTTAATATATTGTTTTTGGATTTTAATATATTAAATAGCGATTAATCTAGATATAATTGACGTATAGTTAATTGATTAAAATGTTATTTTTTGATGCAGGGTTTGTGGATGGGCTTGATATGTGGTCTAGCTAGCCAAGCTTGTGGCTTATTGCTGCTGACATTGTTTACTAAATGGGGAAAACTAGAGGGCTCAACAAAAAGCAATAGAGAAAGTGAACTTCTAGCTTAAGATTGAGTTCATGAGAATTGATTTTTTTTGTAAAATTTATATTAGTTGAGTGATCGTGTGAGAAATTAATTCGACAATAACTTGCGTATTGGCCACTGGCGTGCTTGTTTGTTATTAATGATTGAGGGCTTATTGCATATGCCTTAAATTCTGAACTCTTTAATTTTTATCTCATAATTTTAAATATATAATTTTAGTGCTAAAAATTTTAAAAGTTAAACTTATCAAATTAAAATTTAGAATTCGTCTCTAATCGATGTCTTATAACGAGATAGGAGTGTTAACTTTATCTGCACTGAATTCTAATACCTGCTATACGAAAACCTGATTGCCAAACTGTCTGATTTGGTCTTTCCTTATCCAAATCCACATCTAACCTAACAAAATTTATGCAAATTTATCATCAAGGATCACTTAAGTATTCATTCTTCACTGAGGATGACAGCTACTTTTGGGTGATTTGCACAAATAACACACTTCGGTGCCACTTTTAATTTTTTGATCTCGCGCCCAATGGGTAAAACTTCAATTTTAACAAGTATTGTCTTTCGCTTGACTTATGTGCAACATTCTTTTGACTTTTAACCTTAAACATTTTCAATATTGGCTACTTTTTATAGGGAAAAATAAAAAATGGTCATATTTATAATTGGTAACTTAAAAATAGTCACAGTTCCAAAAGTAATCAAAATTTAGTCACTTTTCATGTAAAGACAAAATATGAACAAAAACACACTTCAAAATCCAGAAATATTCCACCATAATATGCTGGAGTTCGATTTTTTTACCTATGAGCTTCCAGCATAATATATTAGAATTTTATAATGTGCTAGAATTCTATCATAATATGCTAGAAGTTTATATGCAGAAGCTCCATAATCCCGCATATTATGCTGGAACTTTTTGTGTACTGGAGTTCCAACATAATATGATGGAAGTTTATACGTATGAGCTCCATAATCCAGTATATTATGCTAGAACTTTTCGTATTTTAGCAAAACAGTGGCTATTTTTCAATAACTTCGTAAACGCTAACTATTTTTCAACGGAAAAATGACATTGTATAGCCGCTATAAAAATAATAGCTGAAAAATGTATAAAATTTGTATATTTTTTATTTTTATACATTTTGTATGTTATATACAAAAATTATATAAATTTATACACTTTTTCGGCTATCAGATATAAATAGCTTCTGACACGGACTAAAAGTGATAATACACTATTTTTTAATTACTAATCCTAAAATTTGCTAGCTCGTGCTATTTTTACTTTTTTATACCATCACTTATAGTACTGCCAACTGGGCTATCCGCAGGAAACCCAAAATTTAGGGGTGGATTTACTCAAATGACCCTTTTTGGGCTATCGTTTTATTTTGGCCAAATAAGTGTACGGCCCCTTAAACTTGGCTCCAGTTTACATTTTGACACCTTAACTTAGCTCTTTTCCTATTGAACACTTTAACTATACTTTGGACTATACCATTTAAACACAATGCATGACCGGGCTATAAAAACTTAAGCGCGTGTTTTTAAACGCTTTCCACGTGAAATAACATACCAATAATAGTCTGACATGTGCTTATTTATCCAGGTCGGATAAAAAACCCCGTTTTTACCTTACCCACATACCTCACCTCACTTAATCGATCTTCCACCCAAAATCCCCTTTCTTTAGCCTAATAAACCCTAATAAACTACATTGAGACCGATTCCCGGTGGAATCTTCATCGATTTTGAGTTAGATTCAACTGTCCGTCAACTATTTGGCCATTATATACGGGTAATCGTTTGCTTCTTTTGACCGTGGTGGTGAGTGGAGTTGGTCGTAACTGGAGCTGGTCGTGACTGAAGTTTTGAGGATCTAGACATGTCTGCAAACGAATATATTCTTGTCGATTTTCACCATGGTAGACATATTGTCAAGGATCCTGTCCCGAGATATGTAGGAAAGAGGGGTGAGGATGGTCACATGATAGACAAGAACCACTCTTCTCTTTTTGAGCTTCTGTCCTACACAGAAGATATGGATTATGCTGAGGTAGAGGGTTTTTATTTAATTAATCCTAAATCTAATAACTTTGTCTTGATTGAAAATGATGAACAACTGTATAATATAGTTTGTCACCTTAATCATCTTGATCATTTAGATTTATATATTAAGCATGCAGTTAATGAGCCTGTGTTGCTTGATGAGACTGTCCCATGTGGCCTTTTATATGGGCCAGAAGTTATTGAACCAAGTAAAAATATATTAAATAAAGAGGCTAGGGCAACATCTACTGTTCCAGAGGATATAAATGTCCAAGAAAGTGGTGCAGATAACACATCTGTGTCTGAGGAAAATCTAGCTGATGTTTGGGTAGACCAAAGAGATGTAGGAGAAAAGCCAAGGATGAACCAAGAAAAAAGCATGGTAAACTATCAAAGAAAGGGGTAAAGATGACTTGTTCAAACTCCCAACAAACAGGACACAACAAATCTGGATGCAGGAAAGGGGTAAGTTCTGATAATTGTAATTCTGTCTTTTACATTCTTTTTTTGCAATTCTGATATTCTTTTCTTTTACCTCTGTCAACATGTTCCAAGAAGTGCTACTCAACAAAGTCAAAATATGTCACCACCTCCACCAAGATCATCTCAGGAAATACCATCTCAACAAAGTAATACATCCTCTATATGTGAGGATACAAGTGTTATCAAAAGACAAAGCAACAACCAATCAACTGGGCTTGGTAAAGGAAGAGGAAGAGGCCATGGACTAGGTAGGGGAAAAGGAAGAGGAACTACACTAGGAGGAGGCTCAGTTAATGCAGCAACCATTGGACATAAAAGGCCAAGGCATACTGGTTTTGGGATTTCACTGACACTATGACTGGAACTACTATCCTGAATGTAAGGGTGTATAGTTTATTATAATGCAGTTTTGTGGGCTGGAATTGTTCTATTTTTTACTAATTCATTGTATTTTACAACCTGGTATATCATCTGAGAGAGTCATATCAGGTGGGACATTCAAGGATACATGTGCAACTAACATAGACATTGGATGTAAGCCCCCGGATTGAAGTTTAAAGGAAGAAATGCAGTGACAAGGTCACAACTTCAGCAAATGAGTGCAGCAAGGAAAAAGGTTTTTCATGTCAAACAAGTTCAGTTGCATCTACACTGTGAAGCAGACTAGTTTTTATTTATGTTATCTAAGATGTCACTACCAGTTTTTTGTTTGGGCAGTTATGCTCTATTAGAGTTTACTAGTTTGGGCAGTTATATGTTTAGGAAAATAATGTTCTATTTTTTTGTAATTTATAGATCAAAACAATGCTCTATTTTTTTTAGCTTGGATGTAATGCTAGTCCATCACATTATGCAATGGAATGTTTAGGCAGTTATGTTTTCAATTCATGAATATGAATTTGCATTTCATTCATAACACATTATGGATGTGTAGCTGAACTTAAATTTGCATTAAAAACTGGTCATTTCCATTTCATTCATAACAAGATAATGTACATTAACAAAAGGCCAAATTCCTAGTACCTACTTCCAATTTCTTGAACTAATAGCAGCAACTACAACACTATTAGCACCAGCATATCATAAAAATACTACATTGTTCTTCAAACCACCAGCATCACCAACGCCAAATCTATAGAAACAACAACAACACCACAACAAATAACCACTTCAACCGTCCAACTGTTTTCTCAGTTCTTTCGACTCTTTTCAACAGACCCTATATAACCTTCTTAGCTTGGTCAGGCATTTCATCATCATACCATCTGAAATATTTGCAGCCACCTTGTCCCTACAAAATTCAAAAAGTAATGCGGCCAAAAAAATTAAAAATAAATTTCTTTATTAAGAAATTCAAGGGTCTAACAAAAACAATACGATCGACTTACCAATTTACAACCATAAAATCAGCGACCTGGGTTTGCAGATGACCATGATATAGTCAGTGCCGCATTAAATTCACAGTGGCAAATTTTCATTCCATTGCGAGAAGTTGTTGATTTTTGTGACATGGAACTGATAAACGAAAAAGATGAGGAATAAATCAGATCAAGATTCAAGCTTGGACACCTAAGTTTCGGTAGAAGGAAAAAATGGCGAATTTGCAAGGGAAGAAGACGAAAGAGGAATTAGGGTATTCTTGAGAGAAAAAATAGAAAAATCGGGTGTTTTAAAGTGGGTCTAACGGGTGGGTTTTATTTTTACTGTTGGAATATCCACCTAAGCAAATATTAATAACATTCACGCGCTTATTATGTGTGGACATAACGCTCCTTTGGGAAGCAGATGTAGTATATTATGTACGGGTTCAACTGAACCCATAACTTTCGATGCGGAGTAAAAATTTATATGTAAAAATTCATTAAAATTGCAAAAATAGTAAATCTGAACCCATAACTTTCGATGCGGAGTAAAAATTTATATGTAAAAATTCATTAAAATTGCAAAAATAGTAAATCTGAACCCATAACTTTAAAAATATAATGAGTTCAATGTTAAAAAATTTAAAATTGAACCCATAAGAATTAAATCCTAGATCCGTCTCTGCCTTTGGCCGGACATGCATTGTGTTTAAATGGTATACACTAAAATAGAATTAAAGTGTTCAATAAGAAAAGCGTTAAATTAAGGTGTCAAAATGGAAACTGGAGCCAAGTTTAAGGAGCCGTCTATATATTTGCCCTTTTATTTTTTGTCTATGTTTTAAAAGTTTCGCAAATATAGCCTAGCGCTTGACACCAAAAAGATGAAAAAATTTATACTACAGGTTCCGAACATCTAAAAGCTTGGCCATAGAAATTTTTATAGGATAGTTCAGGTTCTTCTTGAATAGAATCTTGGAGCTGACTTTAAAGTTATCTTCGTGATATATAGGTTGTAGGTTTGAGCTGTGAGAAAAGCCACTAATACTAGTATTAGAGTGAGTTCTCTATATTACATCCCTTGGGATATGACCCTTCCCCGAATTCTGCGAGCTACCTTTTTTTTAGTCCAAGTTCTTCTAAAATTTTCGATAATTTGATTAAAGTTACTACATTGTGTGAGACCTTCCTAAAAAATTAGACAATACGTCTAAACTAGGTTCATAAAATTTCGTTAAAATAGTTCTAGTTTCTTTTACAACTTTAGAAATTTTGTTCAAAAAGTTCACTTTTTTTTTTTAGACTTTTTCTCAGCGATCTCGACCATTTTTCTTCACTAAATCAATCCAAACTAGGCCGAGTGTTACGTGGCTCGCAGATCACTATCAAACCTAAAGTTTTTTTCTATTTACTTTGTCAATAATCAAACCCGAAACCCATTTAATTAATTAAATACACTTACCGTTATGTCCTTAACCTTTCTCCACGTGTATAATATGTAATCCATTCACACTTTTGTAAAGTTTTTTTCTATTTACTTTGTCAATAATCAAACCCGAAACCCATTTAATTAATTAAATACACTTACCGTTATGTCCTTAACCTTTCTCCACGTGTATAATATGTAATCCATTCACACTTTTGTNCACCCAACCCAACCCCTAGCCCCTCTCCTAGTATAGACTATATATTACTCCATTTTAATTCTTAAACCTATCAGTCTAGAAAATTTCCTCTTACTATTCTTCTTAATTATATTTCAGTTTCTTCTCTATTTAATTATTTCCCCTTTTTGCAATTTAATTTCTAGCTTAAGACTTTTCGTAAAGTTTTCTCTTTCTCCCTTTTTCTCATCACTCATCTTCTCTTTTCTGTATTTATACATTTATGTCAAAGAAATTGTTATTATAATTCATGGCTTTGCAGAAACATCTTTCAGTTATTTTCTTTGCTTGTTTGATCAGCTCTTCTTATGCTTATCAATTCTACGTTGGTGGAAGAGATGGTTGGGTTCCTAACCCTTCCGAAAATTACAACAATTGGGCTGAACGAACGAGATTCTCAGTCAATGACACTTTACGTAAGTTCTGCTTAACTGTGTGATCACCTCATTTATAAGATCTGCTCGTATATTTTTTTTATGTTCTGATTGACTTGTATGATCTCGGAAACAGCCTTTTTGTTCTTCCAAAGGTAAGGTCTTCGTATACACTACCATCTTCATAATCTACTTGTGAATTCACTCGATTTGTTGTTGTTGTTGATTGACTCGTATAATCATCCCGTTTAAGAGATGTGTTTCTATTTTTTAAGTTCGGAATAAATAATATGTGCTCGTAATCTTGATATTTATTTTTGAAATTGTATGATTGACCATCTCGTCTAAAATATGTGCTCGTAATCTTAAAGTTCTGATTGAAATGTGTGATCATCTTATTTAAATATGCGTTGATTAGTTGTTTTGTGTTTGGTTTATGTAGTGTTCAAGTACAAGAAAGGATCAAACTCAGTGTTAGTAGTAAACAAGGATGATTATGACAAGTGCAACACTGATAATCCAATCAAGAAAATGGAAGATGGCAATTCTATATTCAAGTTTGATCGTTCTGGTCCTTTCTTTTTTATTAGCGGAAATAAAAATGATTGTGAAAAAGGATCACAAAAATTAATTATTGTTGTTTTAGCTATTAGAACTCCTCCTTCTTCTCCTACACCACCTACCCCCTCAACTCCAGCTCATGGTCCAGTAGCTTCTCCTCCGGCAACATCTCCGGCGACATCTCCGGCTACTTCTCCAGTTCCTGCTCCTGTAAATCAAACACCTACTTCATCTCCAGGAAATGCTCCAACTCCGGCAACATCTCCAGTTCCTGCTCCTGTAAATCAAACACCTACTTCATCACCAGGAAATGCTCCAACTCCGGCGAATTCTCCGGCTACATCTCCGTCAACATCTCATGCGCCGTCAATCAATAGTCCATCACCTTCTCCATCGCCGTCAATAACTCCGGCGACATCTCCGGCACCGGCGATTATTTCACCATCCGGAGCCATAACAGCTCCATCGCCTTCATCGAGTGGCTCATCATCATCATCTCCAACTTCTTCTCCGGCAACAAGTACGTCGGGATCACCAGGGAAGTCATCGCCGGGAAGTATTGCTCCGGAAACCGGCGGTGGGAACTCACCGCCGGCGGATATTCAGTCACCTACTGGTTCAACGCCCAACAGCAAGAATTCAGCAGTAAAAGCATTTACTCCTTCAGCTGTATTGATGTCAATCGTTTTGACTATAGTTTTCGGTGGATTCGTCGTTTCTCCTTAGTGGAAAATAGTCCCCAAAAAAAAAGAGAGAGAGAAAATACTAAATTATGTAGTTACTTAGTTTGGTTTTCTTTCTCATTTTTTTTTTTTTTTCCTCTTTTGTGTTTTGTTTGATTTTTGGTACATTGAATTGTTGGGAGTTTTGGATATATACAAAGGCAGTATTTAGTTATTATGTTAATCTTTTGTTGTATTGTCGTTGACATTAAATTGACAATTCATAAAAAATAAAAATAAAAAAAGGTAGTTTCGTGTCAAAGCATTTCACGTTCACATACGATTCGAGAAAGGATTGCACTTCAAAGGTATAATATAGACAATTTATCTTAATGCTAGTATTATTAATTATTTCTACAGCTTCAACTCGTAACATTATAGGTCACACGAAGTGTATATATGAAATTTAATCTTGTTTATGATAGTATATTTCTTTCTCTTATTATTAATTATCTAACATTTGAAACCCATTGGTCTAATTAACTTAGATCATATTGTATAAGGATAGCGCTTTTTATTGGATACCTGGAACCTGATACTTCTGGTTAATGGAGCTCGAACTGATATATTTATTGTTTAGCTGATATGCAAAATTTATAATCGGACAGTTGCAGCTTAGAAAATTTACTTTGCCAAGAAGAGCAAGCTGGAACGTAGAGACAGTTTTTCTTTTTTAGTGTAATAATGTAAACTTAACTTAAGTACCAATTAAACAAAGATATTACTTTTGTTTGACCAGCCTTCCAAAATTTTATGTTAAATTAATGCTTACGTAATGGTCCTTATAAAGTGTTGTAACAAGCTAAAACTCAACTCTTTGTTTTTGCTTTTGGAAAATGCTAATTAATACCATTGGAAAAGAATTGAAAATTTTGCCTTTTGGTCGGTGGGATGGGATATATAAGAATATGCTTTGAGTTGGAATAGCTTATGCTATTACATATTTCGTCCTTTTTTATACGGGATAACTAATCTATCATTTTAGTACAAAATGATTCCTCAGACTAATTAATTCTCATAATCAAATGCAATATAAAATAATCTCATATCTTATTCCGAGATTGTTATCCTTTACGGACGTAAAGTCGTAGTCCATTGGTTTTATTGAGTATTAAGTTAGAAAATATCTTGAATTCAATTATCACAATTTTTAGAAAAGGTCATACCAAATATTTGCAAAAAAAACACGTGCTACTTGAGATTCGATCCTCTAACTCCTTAAGGGTCATTTGGTTTGAATACGGCTTATGCCGGGATAAGTTATGTTGGGATTAGTTATCCTGATATTGTTTTTTATCCACTGTTTGGTATGTTATATTAAAAATGACAATTGCATAATTTCTAAGAAGAAGGTATAAGTTATCCCGGCAATAATTACCCCACCCTCTACAAGGTATAAGTTATTCCGGTACTAATTTTAATCTCGGGATAACTTATACCAGGTTTCCTAACCAAACAAAGTATTAAGGTGATATTAAATTTTTATACCAACACTATACATTCTTATACCTTATACCAAACGACCACTTAGAGTAAAATCAAGAACATAACCAATACGCTAGAGTGTTGTTATTTTTTTTCCTACTTATCAGTTTTTTTATAGTATTAATACATATATTTAACAAAAAATTTCGTAGTTAGTTACGAGTTTAACAAAGTAAAAATGGTAACGTGTCCTTCCCATCCTAAATATATTTGGTCCTCAATCTCTTTGTTGTAGCTATTTAAGCAAATTACTTGTACTTCTCAATCGAGTTAGAAAGAAAAAACAGATCAAAGAAAAATAAATCACTACCTACTTTTGTCATGTTGTACAATAATATAAGTTGCCAACTTGCCCTATGGCAAGCACTCTCTGATCAAACTTCAAAGAGAACCCAATTTTCTGCTTCATTCCTTTGGATACACAGTGAAGCCTCTCCCTAATAACTTTGTTTGTTTCGATATTTTTTAGCTATTGTAGTGAAATATTGTTATAGGGAACATATATTATAATATAACATAAAAAACTAATTTCAAAAAAAACTTGTCCCTTATAATAAAGTGTTATTATAGAGGATGTCTGTTATAGAGAGGTCTAAATGTAATATTTAAATAGAAATACAGGTTTTGGAAGCCAAGGCGCATATACTAAAACTTAAGCATCAAAAATAAGAAGGTAAAGGAATGCCCTTCTTTTAACAACTGATATACGAAATCTACTTACCCAATTAATTAAATTTTGCACTTCGTAAGATATATTTAAGGAGTACTTCCTATCAAAAAAATTATTCCTAAAACTCAACGTACAACAATTACAACAATAACATGTTCAGTGTAATCTCACGTAATGAGATTTGGGAAAGATAGTGTGACACGCAAATCTTACTCCTATCTTATAAATATAAAGAGGTTGTTTTCAATAGACGCTCGACTCATTCCTAAAATTCAAAACCCAAGAATTGTAATTAAATATGGAATATCTCATTTATCCCACCATATTAGCAGCGATAAGAGTATTTTTCCCTTTTTTGCTTTTGTCACTTTTAGCCCATGCCAGAAATTATTTATAATTGATAGCCAAAAAAATATATAAAATTTGTATAATTCTTGTATATAACATACATAATATATATAT